ATATTAAATATATATATACTAGATATTTTATTCTAGGCAGAGCACAAATTATTATTTAATCTTTATTATAAATGAAGAATTAGTGTTTTTTTTTTAAACCAATACCACTAGTAGATATAAAATCTTAGTCTATTTTGGGTTTGAAACATATTCTTGACCGTATCTCATCATATAAGGACACCGGCTTTCAAATCTAAATTAAATATAATTTTTTTTGTTAAGGTTATTTTTTCATGCATTTACATACAATTTTGATGACTTTAAAAATGAAAGAACTCTCTATATTTAGAAAAAAATCTCAGATTTACTTACAAATATGTTAACAAATTTGCTAGATTATAATTGTTTTAAAAAAAAAAGTGAATGACAACTGCAACAATCTTCTGTAGATTTTACCTTAAGTATTACCTTAAATAATATTTGTGTTTCTTACTATCCAGTTTTTTTTTATTGACTGTTGACTTAGTATCTATTATATTTAAGTAATATTTTTGACAATTTTAGTATGAAATGAATACCATTTATATAATTCTTTTTTTAAAACTATCTTTTTAGTTTATCGTTAGTTTGCTATTAATTTATATTTAGTATGTTATTAATCTGTATTTAATTGAATTTTAATTATATAACTAATTAATCTGTCATTAATTTGTATTTATTCTGTCATTTTCCAGAAAGATGTATGTTTCATATTATTTTTCTATTATATATCATTTTACATCATTTCCTCATAACTTATTTATCTCAGAATTCTATGTTTACCCCCAGAAGATCATATCAAAACCTGTAAATAGTTTGGCACTAAATGGAAATGAATATTTACAGATTTTCAATTAAATTAGAAATCTTGTCCTTTTAGGAATCTAAATTATTAGCATGTTTTTTTTTTTCATTTTTAAGTGAAGGGTTAGTACTGTAGTCTTGATAAATATCAAGAAAATGATTGATAATTAGCTGTAATCTTATCTAAGAAGATGATTGATAGATTAGCTGTAATATAAAAATGCTATATTTTTCTGCCTTTTATAAATATATGCATACTTTTAGTCACTCCACCACAATCTATCCGGAAAGTATTCGAAAATGGCAAAGCAAACATTCATCTACTGTTCCCTATTAGCCATCGTCATCTTCTGGGCTCTCTTTTCTTCAGCTCAGAAGAAAACCCTAACCGTTGAGCTAATCCACCATGACTCTCCTCGTTCTCCCCTCTACAACCCTCTCCACACTGTCTCCGACCGTCTCAACGCCGCTTTCCTCCACTCAATCTCCCGTTCCCGCTATTTCTCAACAAAAACCGATATCCAATCTGGTTTAATCGGAAACAGCGGCGACTACTACATGACCATCTCAATCAGTACTCCAGCGACCAAAGTCCTTGCCGTTGCCGACACAGGAAGCGATCTGACTTGGATCCAATGCAAATCGTGCCAGCAGTGTTACAAACAAAACAGTCCAATCTTCGACAAGAGCCAGTCTTCGACATACAAAACCGAATCTTGCGATTCTACAGCTTGCCACGGGTTATCCAAAGACAACAAAGGATGCGACGAATCGAGAAACATATGCAAATACCAATACTATTATGGAGACAATTCGTTTTCCAAAGGAGAAGTTGCAACCGAAACATTAACCATTGATTCTTCCTCTGCCTCCTATGTTTCTTTCCCTAGTACAGTCATTGGTTGCGGTTACAATAACGTTGGTACGTTCGCAGAAACCGGATCTGGAATCGTCAGCCTCGGAGGCGGTCCGTTATCTTTAATTTTGCAGGTCGGCTCTTCAATAGGAAAGAAATTTTCGTATTGCTTGTCACACACGTCATCTACATCAAATGAAACAAGCTTCCTAAACCTAGGAACTAACACGATACCTTCTATCCCAAGAAATGGTTCCGTTGTGCTCACTACGCCGTTAGTCACAAAAGCCCCAAACACTTACTATTACGTTACTCTCGAAGCAATCACCATTGGCAACACTAAGCTTCTGTACACAGGAGGAGGATGATACGGTTTATACGATGTTGGGGAATCAAAGACAACAACCCCTGGGAACATCATAATTGATTCTGGAACTACATTTACGTTTCTTGAATCCGGATTTTATGGTCGTGTTGTTGCAGCGGTGGAAAAAACGGTGATCAGAGGTAAGCGCGTAAGTGATCCACAAGGGCTTTTACCTCACTGTTTCGAAGACAAAGCAGTCAGTTTGCCGAAGATAACAATGCATTTCACGGGAGCTGACGTGAAGCTGAGCCGGATCAATGCATTCTTAAAAACGAGTGAAGATACGGTGTGCTTGAGTATGCTTCCAGCAACTGGGATCTCTATCTACGGGAATTTGATTCAGTTGGGTTTTCTTGTCGAGTATGACTTGGAGGCGAAAACAGTGTCATTTCAGCACTTCGATTGCACTACTCATTTGTGAAGCAAATTGGTGTCGTTAAACGTTTGAATAATCTTATATTCATCATTAATGCAATAAACGATTATTGAGTGGAATAAAATATCTCTTATATTTCTTAGTCTCATCTTTTTATTTTAAAATTAATTGTGGAAGTTCCGAACAGCAATGGTCAATATTAATTAAATATGAATTAGTATAATACTTATTGATTCATATTTAAGTAATATATGGAGTTTCTCATGAGAAACTTCCAATATGGATGGTCTTAGGTTCATAATTTTACAGTGTCAGTATCCAAAGTCTTTTTATAATTCGATTTAAAGAAATTATTTATGTCTGAACACGAGTTTGCTTCAAGAGTTACGTAATAGTAAATGTTCGGGGCTTTTGCGAACAAAAATCCGCCATGTAGATTGCACCATGACGAAAAGGAAAATCCTCGACTAGGAGATATGGAATTCTTGACACAAATGAGAGACACGGAGACGTTCATAACCTGCGAGAGCATGAACCGATCGCTATCCCTATCGACGGCAAGGCATAAAGAAACAATATGCGTTCTTAGACTTTTCACGAGACATATACCTCTCCAGGCCGGTCATAATCATTTGGGGGCAACTCGTGTGGGCCTGTCCGCTATCGTTTGTTCGCGTGAGCAAGCTCTTTTTTTGTCATTCCCATTAGGCATGCGCATCTATCTCTTTCCCTGCTTGCGCTATTGCTTGATTTCCTGTTTGAGTGATTCCCTACTTTTGTAATTACTTGATTTCTTGTTTGAGTGATTTCCTGCTTGTGTGATTACTTGATTTCCCATTTAAGTGATCCCCTGTTTGCGTGATTACTTGATTTCCTGTTTAAGAGATTCCGTGCCTGCGTGATTACTCGATTCCCTGACTGTATGATTCATTGCCTGCTTAAACTCTTGTTTGCACGTTTACTTCATCACCTGATCTTCCGGACCTATTCGGCCGTTCGCTTTATTTACCCATGTCTGTTAGTCATCTTTCTGTTAGTATATCCTCATTTGCACTTATCATATCCTCCATGGGCATCATGCTTGTAGTTCGAATTACATTAAAACCCCCTAAGTCCTAAGACCTCCTAGCAGGCTCCCCCATGGACCTGCTAAACTTCTGGGGCACTATACCTCCGAAAATTCTGGACTTCGGTTCTACAAACCTATGGGTCCTGTTTGCCAGCTCCCTCTGGGGACCGTGCAATTTTCTAGCATGTTGCCTTGTGGACTTGCTTGCCTTCCGAGGCATCATTCCTCCAGGAATTCTGGACTCCGATCCCATACACCTTCGGGTCGTTTTGTCAGCTCCTTCCGAGGATCGCACAAATCTTTAGTGTGCTCCTTCTGGGGACGCATCAGCCATCCAGAGCATATTTCCTCTGAGAATTAGGACATTGGCCCCGCAGGCCTCCAAGTATTTCCCGCCAGCTCCCTCCAGGTACCATGCAAACCACCCGTGTGCTCCTTCCGGGGACGCATTTACCTTTTAGAGCACCATCAGGGAATTGAGGTCACTCTTTCTGGAGGGCTTTCTCTTCTCAAAACAAATCTCTTCCTAACACGATTCTAAAGCCATGAAGCTTTCAGCGTAAGCACAACACGAAGACTGTTCCGGCAGTGTGGGAGTCGGGGTAACACCTCCGAGAAACGCCCTGTTTCGCCAAAAGCTAGCTGGCACAAGCTGTTAAAAATCAACGGCTCCCCCTCATGTTACCAACCTGCGCATGGGAACCATCTTCTAGTGCCTCACGAAGTAAAGAGTAAACTTTCTTTGAAGAGATACTCATCTATGGGCGACCAACAGCTCTTTCGAAAACCTAACATCCTTCTATTCTGGGCAATTATGTACTCTTTCGGGATGCATGCCCGAGCTGGATTAAGGCTCAATCTAATAGTTCTTCCGGGAATCTAATCATTTCTCCCGAAATTCGGCAGTTTGTCCGGAAACTCAGCTTCGCTCTGGCAAGAACAGTACTCTTATGGGAGACGCAACAAAGTCGAGGTGTGGCTATTCAACTGTTTCTCTGGAAACTCCTTTCTCGCCCTGACTAGACTCGTACTCTTCTGGGATGCGCAGAAGGGTCGGGATGAACCGTTCTAACACGGCTCTTAATCGGACCAAACCTTCAAATACCAAATAAATTTTGATTATCTTGCAGGAAGGACGAATTGGTCGAATTCCCGACTCATTTCCAATCTGTTATAAGTCAGGAGCAATTGTTGAGCCCACATTAATCACAACCAACCTCGAGGCAACACGTAGCTATTGGGCCCCACCCAAGTGATGGTTTCTTCACCTAGGTCTGTCAACGGCTCCCTAATGGACTGTTTCCGGGCAAGTAGCGGGCTTACCAAGCAAGGCATGATGTACTGTTCTACCTGTTTTATTTTTACGTGAAGGGTTAGTACTGTAGTCTTGATAAATATCAAGAAAACGATTGATAATTAGCTGTAATCTTGTCTAAGAAGATGATTGATAGATTAGCTGTAATCTAAAGATGCTATATTTTTCTACCTTTTATAAATACATGCATACTTTTACTCACTCCACCACAATCTATCCGGAAAGTATTCGAAAATGGCAAAGCAAACATTCATGTACTATTCCCTATTAGCCATCGTCATCTTTTGGGCTTCCTTTTCTTCAGCTCAAAAGAAAACCCTAACCGTTGAGCTAATCCACCGTGACTCTCCTTGTTCTCCCCTCTACAACCCTCTCCACACTGTCTCCAACCGTCTCAACGCCGCTTTCCTCCACTTAATCTCCCGTTCCCGCTATTTCTCAACAAAAACCGATATCCAATCTGGTTTAATCGGAAACAGCGGCGACTACTACATGGCCATCTCAATCGGTACTCTAGCGACTAAAGTCCATGCCATCGCCGACACAGGAAGCGATCTGACTTGGATCCAATACAAACCGTGCCAGCAGTGTTACAAACAAAACGGTCCAATCTTCGACAAGAGCCAGTCCTCGACATACAAAACCAAATCTTGCGATTCTACAGCTTGCCATGGGTTATCCTAAGACAACGAAGGATGCGACGAATCGAGAAACATATGCAAATACCAATACTATTATGGAGAGAATTCGTTTTCCAAAGGAGAAGTTGCACCCGAAACATTAACCATTGATTCTTCCTCTGCCTCCCATGTTTCTTTCCCTAGTACAGTCATTGGTTGCGGTTACAATAACGTTGGTACGTTCGCAGAAACCGGATCTGGAATCGTCGACCTCAGAGGCGGTCCATTATCTTTAATTTCACAGCTCGTCTCTTCATTAGGAAAGAAATTTCTGTATTGCTTGTCACACACGTCATCTACATCAAATGAAACAAGCTTCCTAAACCTAGGAACTAACTCGATACCTTATATCCCAAGAAATGGTTCCGTTGTGCTCACTACGCCGTTAGTCACAAAAGCCCCAAACACTTACTATTACATTACTCTCGAAGCAATCACCATTGGCAACACTAAGCTTCCGTACACAGGAGGAGGAGGATACGGTTTATACGATGTTGGGGAATCAAAGACAACAACCCCTAGGAACATCATAATCGATTCTGGAACTACATTTACGTTTCTTGAATCCGGATTTTATGGTCGTGTTGTTGCAGCGGTGGAAAAATCGGTGATCAGAGGTAAGCGCGTAAGTGATCCACAAGGGCTTTTACCTCACTGTTCGGAAGACAAGCGATCAGTTTGCCGGAGATAACAATGCATTTCACGGGAGCTGACGTGATGCTGAGCCGGATTAATGCATTATTGTAAACGAGTGAAGATACGGTGTGCTTGAGTATGCTTCCGGCAACTGGGATCTCTATCTACGGGAATTTGATTAAGTTGGGTTTTCTTGTCGGGTATGACTTGGAGGCGAAAACGGTGTCATTTCAGCTCTTCGATTGCGCTAGTCATTTGTGAAGCAAATTGGCGTCATTAAACGTTTGAGTAATCTTACATTCATCATTAATGCAATAAACGATTATTGAGTGGAATAAAATATCTCTTATATTTCTTAGTCTCATCTTGTTATTTTTTTTAAATTAATTGTGGAAGTTTCGAACAGCAATGGTCAATATTAATTAAATATGAATTAGTATAATACTTATTGATTCATATTTAAGTAATATATGGAGTTTCTCATGAGAAACTTCCAATATGGATGGTCTTAGGTTCATAATTTTTCAGTGTCAGTATCCAAAGTCTTTTTATAATTCGATTTAAAGAAATTATTTCTGTCTGAACACGAGTTTGCTTCAAGAGTTACGTAATAGTAAATGTTCGGGGCTTTTGCGAACAAAAATCCGCCATGTAGATTGCACCATCGACGAAAAGGAAAATCCTCGATTAGGAGATATGGAATTGTTGACACAAATGAGAGACACAAAGACGTTCATAACCTGTGAGAGCATGAACCGATCGCTATCCCTATCGACGGCAAGGCATAAAGAAACAATATGCGTTCTTAGACTTTTCACGAGACATATACCTCTCCAGGCCGGTCATAATCATTCGGGGGCAACTCGTGTGGGCCTGTCCGCTATCGTTTGTTCGCGTGAGCAAGCCCTTTTTTGTCATTCCCATTAGGCATGCGCATCTATCTCTTTCCCTGCTTGCGCTATTGCTTGATTTCCTGTTTGAGTGATTTCCTACTTTTGTAATTACTTGATTTCTTGTTTGAGTGATTTCCTGCTTGTGTGATTACTTGATTTCCCATTTAAGTGATCCCCTGTTTGCGTGATTACTTGATTTCCTGTTTAAGAGATTCCGTGCCTGCGTGATTACTCGATTCCCTGACTGTGTAATTCATTCCCTGCTTAAACTCTTGTTTGCACGTTTACTTCATCACCTGATCTTCCAGACCCATGCGGCCGTTCGCTTTATTTACCCATGTCTGTTAGTCATCTTTCTGTTAGTATATTCTCATTTGCACTTATCATATCCTCCATGGGCATCATGCTTGTAGTTCGAATAACATCAAAACCCGCTCAGTCCTAAGTTCTCCTAGCAGGCTCCCCCATGGACCTGCTAAACTTCTGGGGCACTATACCTCCGAAAATTCTGGACTTCGGTTCTACAAACCTATGGGTCCTGTTTACCAGCTCCCTTTGGGGACCGTGCAATTTTCCAGCATGTTGCCTTGTGGACTTGCTTGCCTTCCAAGGCATCATTCCTCCAGGAATTCTGGACTCCGATCCCATAAACCATCAGGTCCTTTTGCCAGCTCCTTCCGAGGATCGGAAAAATCATTAGTGTGCTCCTTATGGGGACGCATCAGCCATCCATAGCATATTTCCTCCGGGATTTAGGACACTGGCCCCGCAGGCCTCCAAGTATTTCCCGCCAGCTCCCTCCAGGTACCATGCAAACCACCCGTGTGCTCCTTCCGGGGACGCATTTACCTTCTAGAGCACCATCAGGGAATTGAGGCCGCTCTTGCTGGAGAGCTTTCTTTTCTCAAAACAAATCTCTTCCTAACACGATTCTAAAGCCATGAAACTTTCAGCGTAAGCACAACACGAAGACTGTTCCGGCAGTGTGGGAGTCAGGGTAACACCTCCGGGAAACGCCCTGTTTCGCCAAAAGCTAGCTGGCACAAGCTGTTAAAAATCAACGGCTCCCCCTTATGTTACCAACCTGCGCATGGGAACCATCTTCTAGTGCCTCACGATGTAAGGAGTAAACTTCCCTTGAAGAGATGCTCATCTATGGGCGACCAACAGCTCTTCTGAAAACCTAACATCCTTCTATTCTGGGCAATTATGTACTCTTTCGGGATGCATGCCCGAGCTGGGGTAGGACTCAATCTAATAGTTCTTCCGGGAATCTAATCATTTCTCCCGTAATTCGGCAGTTTCTCTGGAAACTCAGCTTTGCTCTGGCAAGACCAATACTCTTATGGGAGACGCAACAAGGTCGAGGTGAGGCTATTCAACTGTTTCTCTGGAAACTCCTTTCTCGCCCTGACTAGACCCGTACTCTTCTGGGATGCGCAGAAGGGTCGGGATGAACCGTTCTAACACGGCTCTTAATCGGGCCAAACCTTCAAATACCAAATAAATTTTGATTATCTTGCAGGAAGGATAAATTGGTCGAAATCCCGACTCATTTCCAATCAGTTAAAATTCGGGAGCAATTGTTGAGCCCACATTAATCACAACCAACCTCGAGGCAACACGTAGCTATTGGGCCCTACCCAAGTGATGGTTTCTTCACCTAGGTCTGTTAACGGCTCCCTAATGGACTGTTTCCGGGCAGGTAGCGGGCTTACCAAGCCAGGCATGATGTACTGTTCTACCTGTTTCAACCGCATGCCGCGTGAATGGGGCTTGTCGAGGAGAGGGAGTATAAAAGGAGCTTGAGGCCAAAGGAAAGAGAATCCGTGATCCGCAACCCGGGATCCAAAAGAGAAAGATCAAATTTAGAGAGAATACACAATGAAAGGAATAACCTCTGATCTCCACCTCACTGAAGTTCGCCCTGGTTCCGTTCAGACAGCGTGACTTTAGGGGGTACACTCGCAGTCCTCGGAAGGAACAAAATCCAGGATATGTCTTCCGTCCCCCATCTGTCGTACATCATTATATCCATGAAGATAGAGTTCCTACCCTGCCCTTGTCATGATCCCTTTGTCATACTTCCATCCTTACCAAACAACAGATAGGTATCACAGACCTCGAACGGGGTTCCTAAACCATTAACACATCACCAAACCTACCCTCCCAAGTTTCTGTTTCTAGTAGGGCTTGCATTGATTTTAGCGTCGGATAACCTTCAGGAAGGAAACCCCCTTCCGGTCTCCCTGGAGGTCTGACTTACTCATTTGCTAGTATATGCAGAACCCCGCCAGATTTCCCGGAGCCACATACCACTCATCCTTCCCGGGAACGAAACTTGAAAACCCAGCTCTGCTATCTGAATGAACACACACTCCCTGTAAGCATATATAATTTTCTCCCAAATATCTGTAAAACTTTTTATTTCTTATGACTCAACTCCTCAAATCTAAAATAATGTCATCATACCACAAGAGGTTATCAATCCTTCATGGGAATAATGTAATAAAGATCTATAAGTTGTTTAACCAAGCAAGAAGGGGGTTTGAAGAGGCTAGCACTCAACAATCAAACAAGTGCAAACAAGTAACTAAGAAGTCAAACTATAAAACAAACTAAAACATGAAACTCAAACCAAACAATTGTAGTTGTGAAATTCACAAAATATAGTAATGAAGGATGACTTAAACAATAAAAGGAAGTGGCCTCATGATGGAGAAATGAAGTTAGGATGACTTTCTGAATGATCAATGATGCTCAAACAACATTACAATGGTAATCTTTAGGCATACAACTTCTAAACAAGATTAATTCACTCTCATGATATTAATCACTTTACTAAACATCCTATCAAGGCTAACTTTCATTAGTGAAAAGATAATTAGCAAGCATTAAAATCAGTTATATAGAGCCGATAAACACCTTAGACAACTAATCCTTTAGGCTAAGCATGTAAATCACTTGTTCAATTGATTCAGGAATTTCAACAAACACTTTTGATGCATCAAAATCACTAAAATCAAGAATACCTCTCTTAAAGTCAATCAAACATTAAGGACATCAAACAAGTAAGGATATGAAAGAATTACACACAAGACATCAAGAATCAATCATCAAAATCACCCCAATTTACCCCATCTTAAAACCCAAAGAACTACTCACTAACCATGCTTAGAATCATAAGAATATGGCTAAACATGATTGGATGATGATAAGCAAATTAAGACAGGTACATAAACTTTATTAAAATGATCCAAGATCACATTTTGTTCAAGCAGAATACAAAAGAGAGAGTTTTGATGTGATAGAATAATAAAACTTGGATAATAAGAGGTTTTTAGGCCAAGCTATTTATAGGAGAACCCAAAATAGGCTTGGTCAACAAAAATAAAACCTAGTCAACGAGATAGTCAACTCTCGGATTGGCCACACCCCACAGAGCAGGAAGGTGCCCTTGTTGGTATATGTGCTCGGTATGTCTTGTCATCGTGTATCAATCAAGTCCCTCGATGTACGGCATTCCCTCCACGGTGCAGTCGCCTCAGAGCAAGTGCCTCGATATACGGCAGTCCCTCCATGGTGCAATCGCCTCGGAGCAAGTCCCTCGGTGTACGATGGTCCTTCCACGGTGCAATTATCATCGTGGAGATTCCTCGGTACAGATGGCTTCTTGGTCGGCGTGAAGTGTATTGAGCCAAACAGAACATGCCCTCCTCGGTGCAGCTGCTTGATATGGCTCTTCTTCTCCACTACAACCACCTTTCTTCCAGTGCCCTTCTTAACCTCATAATGATCTGAAATATAGTCTAAAAACAGCAATGCATGCAGTCCTAGTCCTAATGCACATTAAGTCTAATATGAATACAAATGGACATTTAGGACAATAAAATGGATAAAAAGAAGTAGAAACCTATACTAAATGAAGTCTAATATAATGAAATAATGCAAGCTATCAACTCCCCCAAACTTGTCTTTTGCTTGTCTTCAAGCAATAAAGAACAAATAAGGGAGAGAGGTTTGAAAATGGGAGTTCACAACCTAAAATGCCGAAGGAAGAAGTGAGATCAACGATTGATATACTCATTATTTATACCATTTTAGCATGCATTCATCATAAGTTTTTAAGTCTTTAAACATGCATTTTTCACTTGTTCTTGTT